GCCAAGTTTTACATTATCCTTTCTGATCATCAAGTTTGTCACGGGCAACATCATCGAGGCGCCTGATCCAGATGTTCAGTGCCCCCAAATCAAACTATGTTTTATGTATAACATATATTTATATGTATGTGATTATACATAATCATATATATATATATTCTAGATATATTTATATAATTACATTACATACATACAGATACTTGTGTGTTTGTAGTTTGGTTTCGCGGAAATAGATCCGCCCGCACTGAGGGTGCTGAGGACCTTTCTTGTTTGGGAACAAAAATGCATCCTGCATCATGAGGTGTGTTTTGGAGAGGAAGGGGTAGAGAACACATTTAAAAACATTGCTTTCACACATCATCTATGTTTGGCTATATTTATCATGATCGTATCATTTGTATCACCTGGGCTATGCAAGGCAAACAAACGACTCCTCTCCACAGTCTATGTCTTAATTAATATACATATCTCCCCCCATTGCATCATATGCATCAGCTGGTTGCAAGTCTATAGTTTATTGTACATCATCACTCCATTGTTCATTGTCCTGAAAATTGTACAGATTTCAGGGGATCAACTAAAGCATAATGGATATAATTTGGAACCCCTGAAAAATGTACAATTTCAAGGGGACAAACAACATAGTGATTATGTTTAATGAACTATACTATGTGCATGATCGAGACAAGACTTGGAGATGAACGCAGCATGAAGATAGATGAATAAAAAAGAGAAGTCTGAGTCTCTATAATCACTCTATTTTTGGACCCTGGTGTCATGTCTTATTTGCATTGTGCAAGCATTGTTGAATATTGTTCGACTCCCTGGAATGTACATGTGTCAGATGATTCAAACTATATCCACCAATGCCAGCAAGAGTGATTATATGCATATATTGTACTATTTCAGTTCAAGCAGACCGTACATTAGAGTAATTAGAGTGATTACAAGAAACCATATTTGGACCCCCAAGATCCAATGGTGGGGGCAGTTGTCGCCGAGAAGCAACCCGAACTAGTTGCATTCTGAACGAGGCAAAAAGAAGTGCTTGGTTTCCCTGTTAGTAGAGAGAAGGCAGACGACCTTATTTTTTCACACCTTGTTGTTTTGGCATGCTTAAAGTACGTATCTGCAAGTGAATTGTGTACGACCCTGTTTGCCATGTGGTTTGCAATCGCGGAAATACACAGAAGACCGAGCATAAGGGCTGACATGTTATTGTTGTGGTGGTTGTTGTTTTTGTTCTTGTTCTTGCTACTGTTTGCTGCTGCTGCTGCCGCTGCTGCTGCTCCTGCTTGGCCGCTGCTGCTGCTTGGCCGCTGCCGCTGCTGCTGCTTGGCCGCTGCTGCTGCTGCTGCTGCTGCTTGGCCGCTGCTGCTGCTGCTGCTTGGCCGCTGCTGTTGCTTTGCCGCTGCTGCTGCTTTGCTGCTGCTGCTGCTGCTGCTGCTTCACCGCTGCTGCTGCTTCACCGCTGCTGTTGTTGTTGTTGTTGTTGTGGTTTGTCGAAGCAGATTTATATAGTCGCATAGGGAGATTGGGTCAGCACGAAAGATGTGATCCAAAATAAGATATGGGTGTCATTCTAGTAGGTGTACACCCAGTGAAGGGTTTTTGTTGAAGTTTCCTTCTTCCCATATTACCATTTTTAATTAAAGTCATATAAGTAATTACGTAGTTTGAATCGGATGGACTTTCGTGGTGGGTGCTAAAATAGTTGGCTTTGAGCGAGGCTTGGCTTAGAATCCAGCAGTTGTTGCAGAAGAGTTGGCTATTGGCAAAGAAGAGATACGGGCCTTGTGAACACGAACATGTAGAAGCTGTCGCCCATACGCCTGTCCGGCAGGTTCAACTTTATGCAAAGTCTGGAGGTGATCTCATGAGGATGCACCCTGCTGACGGCTCAGGACTCCACCAATCATCGGGCGATGAATTGGTATAACACAAAGCCCAGGTGCTGTAGCACTTGATTGACCTAGAAGTAATGTGATCGCTAGTAAGATTGATTCAGGACACAATTTGGCAGTTCAAAAAGTCATGGCCTGGCAGTTCAAATCGAGTTAAAAGAGAAGGGAATCCTCTGAGATGTCTTGTCACACAATGATCTACATGTAACATGTCCTAGCCGTTTTGCTGGTTTCTTTCATGCAATTCAATTTATATATGTCCAAGGTCGTGATGTTGGCGCTGATGATGTTGTTCCAAACATTGATGGGGATGACAGGCAGAACGCCCCGTTTCAATTGCAAGAACTGTGTGTTTGTGTCGCCAAGATCAAGATCAGCGATCTGAATCAATCCGATTGCTTCTCAAAGACAGATGAGTAGAGCGTGTTGACAGAGAGGAAGAGGGAGAGACAGAACCGGATGTAGATCCTAAGAATTGGAGGCAGTGTTTTTGTTTGTTTACCACGGAGGACTCATGGCATGACTCTGCAAGTGTTTTGCACTCCGCTGAGATTCGACTGCAGGAATGTTCATGACTGTACCGGTGATGGCTGCAGTTCCCTGGCATGAAAAGTGGACTGCCCTGGCATCGGAGCAGTTGTGGAATTACTTACTTCGCTTTCCAGGCGAAGTACTACATGCTCAGCATGAATATGCCCGAATCGGTGCCCCCACTCTGCAAGAAACGCAAGACACCTATTGATTCAGCTGTGAGTCTGTGAGGTATTGGATCCATTGTTGACTTGCATCGAAGGCCTTGTCACATTCCTCACCCTTCAGACAATCGAGTGGTCTCCTGTGGTCTCCTGCAAACACCTGAAGGCAGTCAGCAAGGGCCACATATGAACTTTGTGGAACAACAGCTGGAAGCTTAGCGAAGAAAACTCTTGGCTTGAGATTCGCCAAAGTATATACTATATTTGTGCATTCACTGCGCGGAGGCGGGCGAGAAGAGCTGATGAAGTTTGATCCTAAGATTTGTTTCAACTGAACTACAAAGGTCACGTTTGATAGGTTGCCTGGCAGTTTTGTAGGGAATTGTTTTGCTACAGTGAAACCAAGGTTTTCGCGAAGATTTGTGCGTTGTTCTCTCCCACAAAACTACTTGTGCGTTGTGCACTTGACAAGACAAAAATGGAACCAACTCAACACTAATTACCCCCGAACCGTCGCACCCAAAGCTCATTCACAGAGTGCAGTCGCAGCGAACTCAATACACCCAAACAAAAGTGTTTCCCGAGCAAGTGTCTTCAAGAAGCATCAGCCACGCCATTGCCTCCCACCCCACCCTCATTGTACCCGAAGCAAGGTAGCTCATGAAGCATCAGCATCAGAGAACATGTCAAAACACAAACTATCATCCGTGAAAAATGACAAAAAGGCTACAAAATCACCAGGCAACCTATCAAATCGAAAGCATGTACTAAGTACTTTATGGAGCTATGTAGCTGCCGTGGACGTCAAGCATTTTCGGCATCTTCCCAATCCACACTGAATGGCCCAAACGGCCGGCTGCCTACCACTGCAATCCCTCATGACTGCAGGAAAATGATGAGGTGGGATGGCTCTGTGCTGCCTTTTCCAGCAATATTCCAGCCTTTCAATTGGACGTTTGGAAAGAGGAAAGACGTCTAGCCACAATGAAGCTACCAGTGCTTCTTTTTGTTCCACGTGCCACAGCATCATCGGATTGTTGGCAGCCACCGAATAGAATGCACGAGATTGACATTTTGAAGGCCCAGAAAATACAAGCCAAGCTTTGCATCCACAGATTGTGCAGTTATTTGGGTCAAGTGCTATGTTCACTCCGCTCTCTTCTAACATGTTTTCCAACATTCTTCTACGACCATGTTGCGAGCACATGATGAACAATGCTATTCGGTTGAAAATGGAATGAAATCGGATATCCTGTAGCTTTGTCCAGGATAGCACACTCGTATGGATTTGTGATGGAAGCACGGAGTCTCAGGATGTTTGCCCAAGGCCACAAAGTTCTTTGTGGCACGTTAATGACAGCCTGCTCAGGTTCTGATTCGAATACCGATTCTGAAGATGACACAGCGGACTCTGCAGAACGAGCGGCAATTTGATTGCTGATTCACAGATTCCGGCTAGCGAATGCCAATGCTACTAATGCCCAGGGCGTAGTGATGCAAAAAGGATTGATTGAATTCTTGCACTTCAGTTGGTGTTTGTGCGCGGCTTTGCTTATACAATGTTTTTCCAACACTACAATGTGTTCCAGCACAGAATTCAAGGATTGATAGAATCCATTCAGATGCTCAGGTCAGCGCAGAGCTTGTAGGGCTGCAATGGCTGCATGAGCTTGACCCTGCCATGGCTCCATGGTCGTCTTTCACCTCACGGTCCAATTGGAATGGACTCAAGTCAACTCTGGAATGCCAGCAAGCAGCATGTTCCAATATGCTCCAAATCTTGCCAATGGATGCCATAGTAGGTGGCCAGAAAGACACAATCGAATACCCACGTATGGCTCCCCACGAGCACAAAAACGGTTTGTTTTCAGATGGCTTTGCCCAGACGCTCGAAACTGTACAGCATGCGCATCAAATGATGCTCTGTGCGTGCAATTTGCAATACTGCTGATTTGCACGCCTTGTAAATTGCTGCTCTTTGAACACTCAAAAGTGCTACGCACCATGTCTCCTGTTGACAGGCATGAAAGAATTTGCTTGTCAAGGAATTGCGAACTTCGTGGTTGCTCAGTAATCTCTTCATGAGTGTCTAGCGAGTCCTTCTTGCCTGCATCTTGACAACGTTCATCTGAAGTGTTGATGGTTTCGAGTTGTGAGTCATAAGGCCTTCTTTGGAGTTTGTGACGGTCAGGCTTGCAACAGTTCTTTGCCATGTTGATCCTTTGTCCATGGTCAATGGTCTCCATTTTTGGCTGATAGAAGCACACGAGGATTGGTGGCATTTTGGACCTTAGAAATTCAGACATAATTAATTAGCGAACAAGCAGCATTTGATCACAAAGCCAACCACCAATTTGATCACCCACTCCTGCTCTCATGTTCGAATGGCCGAGACCTTCCTATGGCTTTCGGAGATCAACATGGAGACAGGTCTGACAACTTGGCCTCGTGCAGTGCTAGGTCCTTGGCCTCCGATGACTTCGTGTTGGCCAGAGCATTGGATCCAAGCTTCTCCCCCGCCTCGCCCGTCTCGCCTTGTGGGCGGACACGGCAACAGCCAAGGGGAAAAGCATCAGTTCCAGCAAAGGCTCCTTCACGACCAAAAGCCGATGCTTTGGAAATGTGTTTGGAGCAAGCCAATGCCATTGCCTTCACACGTTTATTGGACAAAGATCATACTGTTGTGTCAAAAGAGATTTCTGAGGGGCAATCAGCCTTAATCTTTGCTCTTGACAAGTTGAGCAAGACATCTTGGGACTCCAGCAAGGATTTGATGGCCTTGAACTCCATGATCATGCTTCTGATTGAGAACAAAGCCGACCTAAATCGAACAGCTCCTCCACATGAAGAAAGCCCCTTACAGATCTTGTTGCGTGGAAGCCATGCGGATGGTGAGCTCGCACATCTGTGTAAATCCAGATTGGCAGTGGCCATGCTCCGCTCAAAGGCGGATCCAAATCATGTGGACCGAAATGGAGAATCACCTCTTTCGGAAGCTGCCTTTGCAGGTGACTTTGAGATGTGCAGACTACTACTCGATCATGGTGCCTACATTTCAACCCTCAGATCGGTGAAGGGACTCTGTTTGGAAGATCTTTCATTGGATAGAAAGGTTTCCAGCCTCCTTCGGGAAGCAGCCTCGAATCAAGATCAAATGATGAAAGACCTCATGTCAAGTGGGAAGGCCCTCCTTTCGTCAGGAAAAGCACAGGCAAATGCAGCACAGCTGTGTTTTTTGAAGGCCATGAGACTTGACCCTTTCAACCCTGACATCCTTCTCGCAGCAGCAGAAGCAGATTATGTGTCTGGATCTTTTGAAAAAGCCTATCGTGAGGCCAGCAAAGTGGTAGCCCTTGCACCTCTCAACGGCCTGGCATACGAGCTTTGTGCCAAGGCACTGTGGCGCCTCAATCGTATTGATGAGGCATTCTGTTTGTGCACATCCATGGTCCCTTCAGGCGCTTCTCACAAAATGATGATCCTCCAATTAGAGGAAGTTATGGTGAAACATTTGACGTGCATTGATGGAGTTGAAGCAATGCTGTCAGATAGCTCCAAGAAGCTAGACTTGGCACTCTCTGAGAAAGCCTTTCAGAATTTGCATCATCTTTTGTTCGAAATGAGGGAAGGGGAGAGGTGCTCACCTTGGGGGGTAAGAGCAAGACTGGGATTGGTGAAGGTATGCCTTTTTCCTTCGCCGGGATGCTCGAAGCAAAAAGAAGAGGCACGAAAGAGCTGGACAAGCCGTGCTCTCTGTGAGACTAGATTTTTGAGAGACTAGACGTTTGATTTCGTACATTTTCAGATTGATTTGCTGTTTGTTCGGAGTTCGGCATGCTTGGTGTGTTTGGAATCATTGTACTGTATATGGTTGTCGATCTAAAGGTCCTAGTCAGCAGTGTTTTTGGCGAAAATCTCATTTGGCGAAAGTTTTTTCTCGAGTTGGCGAAAGTAAATTGTTTTTTGGCGAAAGATCTGGCGAAATATTAAATATGTATTTTTGTATGAATGTTCATTTGCTTCCTGAACAGCTGGTGGCAGTGACTCAGAAGCTAGATGAGCTGTGGAAGTTAGATAACCTGCTGCTGCTGCGGCTGCTACTACTACTACGACTACCACTACCACTACCACTACTACCACTACCACTACCACTACGGCTACTACTACTACTACTACTACTACTACTACTACTACTATTCCTGCTCCTGCTTTGGGGGGTGGCTTTGCCACAAAACTCTACCCCGCAAAAGGCGAAAGTTTGGCGAAAGTTCAGCTCAAGATTAGCGAAAGTTCACCCTGCCACATCTGACCCCCAGCCCATTATGAGTAAGTTTGAGTGACCGGCTACTACAGTGATTCTTGCAATTTTGATTCTTGCTGACACCCAGGAGAAACAAGAGAGACGTACAGGGTGTCAACAGTTAAGTAGAAGACACTTGCTGACAAACAGTGAAGTTTCTATTTTGTGTTTGCCAGTAAAGAAGAAGCCATTGACGTGAACAAAACACAACATACATGGCACACAAAAATACAACGTACTTCGGCGAAAGATAAAACGCAGGAAGGCGAAAGCTTGGCGAACATTTTTTTGGCGAAAATGACGGATCCCGGATAAAGGAATTTAGATCAACTCCTATATATAATTTTCTATCGAGGACCAAGGGTTGATCATCGCCCATAAGGAAAGCATGATGCGAGCAACGGGGAAGTCTTGTATTGGCATGCAAGAGCCTTGCTCTACAGTGGCTGCCGGCAAGATGCATTAAACGCGCTCTCCTGTGCTGGCCAATTGACTGGTGGAGCAGAGAGTCATCCGCTCTTGAAGGCATTGCAAGAGGCTGAGGATCATCGTCAAGTTGGCCAAATTGCAGCTAAAAAAGAACACTGGCAGGCTGCCTTGGAAAGCTATTCCGCGGCAGTAGAGCTGCATGCAAGTACCTTTGACCCTATGTTTCTCTCAGCCATTCTTGAAGAGAAAGGCTTCGTGTTGTTGAACCTGAATCAGATGAATGATGCACTCAGCGACTTGACGCTGGCCCTGGAGATTAAGGCCTCCCCTCGATCATACTTTTTGCGTGGACGGGTTCGTATGGCCTTAGAGCAATACTCCGAAGCTGCGAGTGACTTTGACCATGCTGCAGTCGATCCTGACATAGGAGGACTTTCTGAGGAGCGTGCAAAAGCACACCGCTATGCCAGGTGTCCACCTGTTCCTGACTACTATGCTGCTTTGAAGTTGCCCTCTTCCGCGAGCAAAGCGGAAGTGCGAAAGGCCTACAGGCTTCAGGCTCTAAGATGGCATCCCGACAAGAATGTGGGTAATGAAAGTGTAGCAGAACAGGCCTTCAAGCTGATACAGGTGGCCTTTGATACACTTTCGGATGAACGGCGCAGGAAAGAGTATGATGAATACCAGGGCGACCGCAAGCCCTTTCCCTTTGGAGATGAGCAGAAGGCTAGGACGGACACAAAAACAGAAGGAACGTGAGTTCGGACATTCACTTGCAAGTTCAGGTTTGAGGATCAAGGACGTCCCTCTTGCTGGCGAAGGGCAAAGCTGGCAAAGCTTGCAGACCGCGCTGTATAAGCCAGAGGTTGCAGTTCTGGCCTTTTGGAGAAGAATCGCTCGTCGCGAGGCAGAGGACTGACTTGGCCAAATTGCATGAACAGTGTCATGTTGCAAGGAGGTTCATCATAGTACATTAGCAGCTCTTTAGATGTCTATGACACTATGAGAGCGTCCCCTGCACAGCAGGACACATTTGTTGTAGTTGCTCCTTGTTTTGGGGAACTGCCGCAGCGACGCGTAGTCTAAGGCAGGATTCGTGGCCACAAAAAGCACCCAGACAGAATAGCTGTTGGTGGGATCGTCACTATTGGTCACCTACTATCATCACCACCCCGTTGATTTGGAAAACCTTGGGAGTCTGAGTTGAGCTCCGCCTAAGGACTTCATCGGCAAGATCATGGCGAATCCACCGAGGTTCCTCCGGTGGATTGATGACCTCTACCACTAGACCTTCCGGTCTGGAGCACTTGGAGAGCGTAAATCACCGGACTCCGGGAAAGCCAAACGCCAAGTGATCAAGTACGGAAGCAGAGAACTCGCAATTCTTCAGAGGCCAAATGACTACTATGGCTTGAAAACAAAGTACCATGGTGCCATACAATCCTCTTTCGTACAAGAGCCACTGGAACAAAAACTCGTGGATCCAAATTTGTATTTCAGCCACACTCAAGTGTCAGAAACCGTGAAATAGTATTATGTCAGCTTCTTATGTAGTCTTTGACTCTTTGACAAGCCGTTCCGCAAATGCGGCAGGAGGCAGGGGTTTGAAGGTGTCCGCCAAGTCGCGAAAAAGTCGTGGAGTCAGGTCTAGTCGAGTTGAAAAAGATGTCCCCAATTCATGCTGTTTGTCCTTGCTACTAGTAGCTTCTTGCTCCTAGTAGCGATGCCCTTTGTTACTAGTAGCGATGCACTTGTTCCTAGTAGCTTCTTGTTACTAGTAGTGAAAGTTCCTTCTCGACATGTAGTGGCCCTACGCAGGAATTTGCTGCTTGAGATCTACGGAAAGTATCGAGTCGGCCATGAAGCCAAGCTCAAAGAGGCTGAGCACAGAGATCCATATTGTACCTATGCTGATGACGTTGATGAGAAACAGAAAGCACAAAAAGAATCCCACGTCTTAAGATGTATTGGTGGTGCTTCTCACGTTGAGACATTGCCAGTTAGACCATATGATTGCCACATTATTGCATTGCATCGTACCGTTTGTCGACAACGATTGTGCCTAATTACCTTCGTCAACCGCTTGCACGAAGGTTGAGAACTTGGCAGCAGTCCTGGAGCCCTTCTCGGAAGTATTGACGGTGCTACCCTGTGCGCAAAGATATGCAAAGATTGTGTCTTGAGTTTAGAGATGGTATGGGTGTTCCCCGAACCTATGGAGGTGGCGAACCCGCATCTGACAAATGTCCCTGTACCTAAGCACTTTCACTTACCTGCCTTTGAGCTACATCCCTAATATATCCTATATCAGGAAGATGCTCGCTTTTTTTGTCCAGAGTGAAGGAGGGAGGTCAGATGCACGAAACAGGTTGCCAGCTACGATACGGCTGAAAATCATCTTCCTCGAGAAGAGTTCGATCGTGACAAGCAGCTTGGCTGAATTGACTGTGCGAGTTCTCAGTCTGTGGAAATCCAACTCTTCAGGAATTCGGTTAGCCCGCCCCTTGCAAATGAATAATTTTTACATGCGGTATCATGTTGATATTCTTTGATGCTTGGAGAGGTATGCTTCGCACACTGAGTGGTATTGGATACCAGCCCCTTGCTTGCATGCCAGTGGTGCAGAAAGGAGTCTTTGGTGGTAGAGTACAATGTATAGAAAGTCAGGCCAGAGTGAGCAACGCGTTGCATCAATTTGCATCACCAATATTGTAAACAACGCATGCGGGCCTTTAGTTTCTTTTTGCCACTGCGGAATCCTGCGCATACACTGGTCACTAGGAGTCTATATGGCAGCAGCATGATTGCAGGTGAGTGGTTCACCCGCAAAGCTGGTCAAGCCTAAAAGGGCTTCGGCCTGAGGTGAACAGCGAATTTGCGGAATTTGTGTTTCCTGCTTTGCTGGAAGCCCTCCCATGTCCCTGCCTTTTGTTTGGCTTTCTGGTACTGAGGATGCGCCAATGAAGAAGGTGCTGAACTTCGTCAGTTCTCAAGCACCAGAGCTCCAGCCTACCTGGCATGCATTTGGCTTTGCTTGGTAAAAAAGACCTTGGAACAATTATACACTGTGATACAGTGATACAAAAGAACGGTTTCCGATACCCAAGCGAAACCGGCCCAATGAATGCGATTAAGTTGATGCTGCTCCATCGATGCAGTCGGTAGCAAGTTGTTTGTTGGCTGGTCGATGGAGGACTGCTTCGCTCAAGAGTGGACCCCATCGGTCTCATGTCCATTGCTGTTGACAATGATAAAGGACCTTGATATTGATGTAGTGGTCCCAGGAAAGTATGTCTTTTGCACGTGACTAGAAGCAGTGTTTGCAGGCTCTCAGTGACGGATCTGATGGTGAAATGGGAAGCAGCCATGAAGGAGAAATAAGAAGCATGTTGAGCTGGTGCTGGGTGAGCGGTGGCCATGTTTCCTTCTTTGCGATATGTAGGGCGGTCGATGCTTTGCAGTTTTCAGGCTTGACATATTTCTCATGCAGAAAGGATTTTTTGTACAATGATGGCAACTACTCGCACTATCTAGGGGAGGCTGTTTGACGGCTCCATTTCTGAAATGTAGACATCTTTAGACTCGAAGGGCCCTTGACTCTTCAAATATCCCGCAAGGGCGACGGCCGCAACATTTGTCGGCACAAGCCGGCCACGGAGACATCTCAGGAGAATCCACCACCAGAGCCGGCCAAAGCAGGCAAAGTGGACAGACACCAGAATCATGAGTTGTGGGCTTGGGGGAGGGTCAAATCTGGCAATCGCACAGTTCTTGGGTTCTTGGGGCAGCTGGGATCACAGATGACACTGTGGCCATGAAGGTGCCTTGGGTGATGTGAATTTCGTCGGGGCTCCTGGATAAAGGATAACGTTTGAGCAGGAACTGTTCTTTTAGCATCTTTTTTAGCACTGGAGAAATGGCTTGACCATGTGATCTACCTGCGCCAATGCGTTGACTCTCCTCCAATCATCGAGGGCTAGGCATAGTGCTTCGGGTTAGCTCTGGAGATATTCTGTCCAAATAAATATGCAATGCATATGTGTTTGAATGTTTGCCGAGCTCAAAGCATAAGACCATGTTGTCAATCAGTGAAAGGCGTTCAAGACACTAGACCTGCTTATAAATGCAGGTTGAAACAGGTACTAGAATCAGAAACTACTATGTGTGTAGCAAGCGTGCAGTCCTGGAGAAAACGACACGAGCAAAATACTAAAACACACCTGGCTAGTTTCTACTGGTGCGGTGCTTGCTGATGTTTATGCTAACGGGCTGAGAACCGCGCTAGTAGTCGTGCACTTTTCATCAAAGCACCAATCATGCCTTTGATGTTGTCACACATTGCGTGAAAGTCGGGATCTTTCAGTTTCATCCATGGCAACATCTTATTGCATTGCATGTGTTCATGTTGCCTTGTTTGTTTGCTGAAATTACCTTGTGTTTTTGATGTTTATGCTCGCTCTTCGGGAATGACAATTTTTGCCTACTGTAAAATATAACCCAAGAATCTTATCGACATTTGTCCGCCTATCTAATCTACATCTAATTGTTCATGCTTCTCTCATCATGAGCGTCAGGTGCATCTTCGACCTTTGGGGTGGGGGGTGGGGGGTTAATGATGCACGCTCCGTGATGTCCAACGTCACCGGCATTTTTACATCATGCATTTTGCTGCATCATGCGAATCAAATGCATCTTCGTCCTGGTTGGGGGGGTAATGACGTATGCGTTCGGTGATTGCCTTGTCCTCATCTTCATTTTCATCGTGCCAAATCTTCAAAGTGTTTGCAAAGGTACTGTTGGAGGTGGGGAAACACAGGCAAAGATTTGATGCTTTGTATAGGACACGCCGTTTACATCATTGAAGAGAGTGTCCGACAACTATGCTTGACTAGAATTTGTTCAAACTTTCTTGGCTGTGGCGACATAGCAAAATGCCCTTGAATCCTTAAAACAAAAGAGGCAGTTTTACGGGATGAATTTGGATGAAAATGCATATTTTGCTGCAGCGAAACACGAATTCGAAGTGAAGCACATTGTAAGTGAGGCGTGCAAGGCCCTTTTTTCGGAAGTCAAATTTTCCGAAACGTAGGTTTTCAGATCATTTCGAACCCCACCAGTTCAAGATTAGATAGACGTCATAAAGCGCAAAAACGCAGGCGCAGTTGTCAGCCCGACGGGATGTTTATGTTTTGCTAGGTGACAAGCTTATTTGCTTGTTTGGCGTTTGCTTTGCCGCAGGTCCGATGCGGTCTTCTTCCAGGGTTCCAAAACCACAACACGGATTCCCAACTTTAAGCCGGCAAAGGCTCCCACAAAACAAGGTCGCGTTGATCGCTACTATCAGCCATCAACAGCTATCATTTTTGATGTGTTGTCATGTTTCTTGTTAAGCTATGCCCTTTTCTTTCCCTTTGTGCTTCTTTAAAATCCAAGACCCTGCAAAAGGATACGGGCAGAGGGAAGTTGACCAGGTTTGAAACATATATAGCTCCAAATTTAATCAGACGATATCCGCAAGCTTGTCAGAAACAGAGAACAACCTTCCCACAGGGCGACGGTCAACGGCCAGTGGCACCAAGGATGATTTGCCGCCAGCAACAGAGGTGCTCACTGGCGAGGCCTGGCCGACGACCTAAATTGCTTGAACGGTTGATTCGAGATATGTTTTTTCGGATGAATCGGCTGAAAACAGTCGCCCTGGAGGCAGTTATTAGGTTGCTGGTCAAGTTGGCATTAACATGAACAAACAGACCTGTATGTATTGAATTGACTCGACTGAAAACTGACTGCTGACTTGTTATGGACACTGCTGGCAGGAACAGATGGAAGAGTCAAAGAAGGATGAGTTTTGAATGAAGAATTCGTTTTAGGCTGAGATAGGCTGTGAATTTTTGAATGGGTGAACCTATTGTAGTCGTAGCCTCAATTTTGAACCCGCTGTCCATCGAATTGATCAGGTCGAACGTTGAGCAGGTGGGTCTCTTTCGGTGGCAGCGTGGAGCAAAAAGTTGGGTGCATGTCCATCAAGTCTCTTGGTTTTGGAGTAGGAAGGTTCGCTTGTAGGACATGGACATGCACCCCAAACTGACATCAGCACTGTTAACGTGCATAGAAACTCTAGAGCTGATGCTCAAAGAAAAGCCAGCGCTTCACACAATTTTTATTGTCACCAACACCTTTTGAGTTGTTTTTGTGGCCAGGTGCAAAACTGTTGAAGGCCTTTCCAGATCGACAGATGTGGAATAAGCCTCCAAAAGTTTGATGGACTGATTCGTGATCGAAAGAGGGTATTATACACCAAACCTCATGGAACCACTGTGACGTTAGAGTCTGGCGATGTCTAAACTAAAGCAGGCTATTTGGGTGCTGTATCATTTCCACTCAAGGCATTGTGACTTTGCCACTAAAGTTCAAGTTGGCATAGCGATGCATCAAGGTGTACAGATACGCAATAGCTGCATACGCATAGAGAAAGCGAGGAATTGAGATTAATTCATCAGCCATACATGCAGCGTGTTGCGTATGAGTCCAGCTTGTTGCGTCCAGCTTGTTTCATGGGTTCACTTGTGGGTCCCACGCGTTGCACTCAATACTCACGCCATCGGCTGCCATGCCACAGCTCCGAATAGTTGTCACTGGCGACACCAATAGCAGAATCCTTAGCCTTCAGTTTCGACTACTGAACTAAGACATACTAAAACATTATGTTTGTTTTGGTTTCAACCTTACCTCTTGTTTCCGCCTTACCCACCTTTGGAAACAACTAGCAGTAACCAGCAGCTTGATACATTCGTGTCAAGGCGGCAAGTCAACTTTGACAAACGCCGTCATCGGCCTGGGGCTTGAGAAGCAGATCCAGCCAGCAGTAGCGACGATGTCAAGTTGGGTGGGTCACAGCATCGACCAGGTGGGAAAACCATCAACAATCAAACTCAAATGTGGAATCGTTCACGTCAATTCACACTATCAATTGTGCAGGTTCAGCTGATTCACCACACCCTGACAAACCTGCTGTTGGCCATAAATCATAAATCACCATAAAACAATAAATCGATAGTATATGACAGTATCGGTATTAGTACTTATGATGTGTCGAAACGTGATCACGAAAGCCAAATGGAGTCCCCTCAGTATCGTTTGTAAGCTCCAAGGTCGTGAACTTCTTCCAACATCTTCCCAGAGCGAGACGGGGTCCTTGGAACCTAAGTACTTGTCCAGAAATTCAAGGGTGTACTGTGTGAGCAATGTGCACAAATTCTACAAGACCTAAATTCTATGATGAATCCGATGATTTGGAGCTGTGTGGATGTTTCATTCTGGTTATGTACCACGGTTACAAAGACTTGGTTCACATTCCATGCCGGGTGTCATGAAACATGTCCAACAAACGCTGCACATTTGGCTCAGCTCTCCGGTACAATGCAGGGAAGGCTTTGCCACCGTGTGCAGGCCGAATCGAGACTGGTTCACAGAGCATCAGGAAATTTGATAATTCGTAAGTGGGGCTGGCGTGTTCTGTTAGGCCCAAGTGATTCTTGGAAGCCTATGGTTGCTGGCCCTTCCGATTGAAGCTGTCCAGTTCTTAGAGTTTCAACTGCTGTGCAGGTGTGAAGCTGTGAAGCTGTGCAGTTTCAACTGCTGGAAACCTACTCTGAGGTGATTTGGCGGGCACCCGAGACGATGCTTGGCTGCAAGGTGGCGTTCCCTGTCACAGCGACATGGCGACCTATGACAGTGAGGTTGAAGCTTCACCAGCTGCCGGTGGTGGAGAAGGCCAGGCTTTTTGCGAGGGGAGTTCTAAGTCTACAAGGAGTCAACCTTGCTAAGGAGTCACCTTTTTCTGACTCCAAAATCCATCCAACCCCTTTGTTGGCTGTGCAGTTGCCAAGGCCTGCCCGCACTGTTGCTACCACGGCGAGAAGGAAGCATCCTGACACCGCTTGCTGATTTTGCGATGTACATTGTACATGGTGTGTGCATTGGTTTTTCATTCAAAGGTGCTTGAGCTGAGGTTCCTTGTCTTGATGTGGAGAAATGCGCTAAGAAAGGCCCTGCAAATGGCAAGCCCCTTCCATGCTCTTCATCAAAGTCGCAATTTTAATTTGAGTGTCCTTTGGTTGGGAGGTGGCAAAGCAGGCACACAAGTATGAGCATATTTATTTTGTCAAAACTGAGGTATGCAATTGCTATGTCCTTTGTCGGTAGGCCCAAGGACAAAATGCTGCCCTACATCAAGTCTATGCAAGCAGCAGCAGCCATGGCCAACAATGCAGACATTCTGATGGTCATGCAAAAGTCCGACAGTGAACACATGACCGCTCATCAGAAGGAGTTGTTCCGTAATCACAGTGTGAAGCTTGTGGAAGTGGACTGGGACACTCCTCCCAAGATGAAGGGCTACAAAGAGGGTGGCTGGTGCGGCCACCAGGACTTCATCCGCCTGCATGTTCTTGGAATGGAAGGCTATGATGCCATTGCCTATTATGATACTGACATTGAGTTCCAGGGTGATATCACTCCAGTCTTGCGTTGTGCTGCATCTGGAAAATTCCTCTCCACCAATGGAGGAGTGATTTGGCACTGATCTCGTGAGATGTCTCACATGTTGACTGCATGCCTTCCAAGCAGTTATGTAGAATATTTGATTGTGTTGATATGAAATAGGCGCAGAGTAGCAACTGTCAAGTGAAATAGCCAGGGTAGCAGGGCTTTCTTGAGCTGGGTAGCAATGTTTGTAAGGTTGGCGAGCCTTTGAACGTTGGCTTCTTTGCGGTAAAGCCTGACAAACGTCTCCTCCAAGCTTCGTTGAAACCTAGCTGTGAGTGATGCGTGCTGAGTGTTGTGAATTGGATTGAACTAGATGTAGAGTGAGTTGAATTCAACCGAGTTGTTAGCCAGTGAGTTGTTCCCTCAATTGAAGATAAGATTGTTTGCTATAATATAGAGTAGAGCCGGGTCTGAGCAATATAGAGCCGGGTGTGACATGTGTAATGAGTGTAATGACTATTTGCTCGTACCCACCAGCTTTTTGGGGCTTTTCAACCCAGATGATGGTTTTCATTCCATTTGTTTCCTGATAAGGAACTTTGCTTTGGATGCAAACTTCTCCACGAAGACCAGCTGGGGCGAGATGGGCTGGGCTCCAGCAGGAGGCTACTTCATTGGCGGGGAGTGCGGACAAGGTGGGAGTGTCGCATTGTGTGTCTCTTTGACGGAACTTTTTAAACCTAAGAGCGATGGCCTCCAACCTAAGAGCACAAACATCTCTGACTTGAACCAAAAGGCTTTTGGTACGCCCTCTTCTACAAGCCGCTGGGCGAAAAGTTCAGCCGCTCAAAAGACCGGTGAACAGTGTGTGGGTGCTGAGGAGTGGAGGATCTGCCACCAGGGCTCTTCGGTCAGTTGGCTTGCCTGGAGTCGATTCAGCTCAGACTCTTGATTCGGAAAGGGGCGGAAGGCAACAGTAAAAAAAGGGGATGACCCCAAGTATAGGGAGTGGAAATCATTTGGAGACTCTTGATGTGTGCACATATTCTTCGTTCTGAACTTGGTGCTCCACATGTCCTTCAATGAAAGTGAAGAGCACGTTTCATCCCTTGTGTCCACATAAATTGCTTGTTTTGCGCTGGACAGTTAGATGCACTCAGGATAGATCGTTGCATTTGGAATTACCAGACAAGTTACATGTGCCACTTCGCTGCAGTGAAGCCATTTCCAATGTTTCTTCAAGAATCAGTAGGCTGCCATCTTTATTTGCCCAGTCTTTGTCACTGCTTCTATAGGCAAGAAGGATCTGGATTGCAGTCGTGTGCGAGTCCATCACAAGCCCACACGCAAGACAGATGCGCACTCGGAGTGTCAGAAACTTGCCTTTCGAGAAGGACATCACTGATCCCAGCGACTCTGCTTCATGGGCGTTTTGGTTTGCACCCGTCAAGGCCTGCAGATTTTAACGATGTGTTTAACTTCACAGGTAAGGAAGTAGGAGACCAACAAGCCCGTTTGTTTGCTTAGGTGGAGTCGAAGTCAACAGCTTGGCGGCTGAGTCAGACAGTCGCAAGCGGGCAAAAAAGAGATAAAAAGAGTTAGTGGAGGTTACAAGTAGTCACCTGTGGCATGGGAAGCTGTGCCAGTTCATTCGAGAAACACTGAGAACTACACAAGGCCCCCAACAACAGCCAAGCAGACTAATGAATCAGTTCAACTGCAGCGTGTGGTTTTTTGGTGTCCCATGGAGTAACGCACAGTGGTAAGGAGAAGTACTCGTAGCAGTGCCCGGTCGTCCCTGTCCCTTTCACATCATGTTAGGTGCAACTGTTTGCACCTGACAATCTCCTAGGACATCAGTCATCACGTATGTCGTACCGTTGCAAGTTGGAGAGGACTGCATCGAGCTCAGCGCGATTCACTGAATCCATACAAGTCAAGTCACAAGTGGCTTTACGGCTTTGTAATTGCTGACTAGACAAGACAAGCCCTTTTAAATCTTTTTAAAGTTTCTGTCGTGAGTCATGTTTCTCAGTGGAATTCAGTGGATATATCCAATTGTGTGCCCCGCAGCAGCACTGACTTGGAAGATCTTGGAAGCCAGCCAAAAAGGTCAACCAAGAGCCCACGATTTGGGTGCTGTTGTTGTTGCGGTGGTGGTGGTGGTGGTGGCGGTGGTGGTTCTTTTGTTGTTCCTGTTCTTGTTGTTTTCACAACTCTTGCAGCATGGTCATTGGATGCTATGTTGGTTGGCGATACTTCAACATAGACCTGAGGCAATTCGATCCCAGTCTTGTCTGCGGCTAAGACATGTGCAACCTCTTAGCTCTCTCGACACAGTCATTTGAATCGAAGGCATTGTTAC